ACCAGGGCTCCTTCCCCAGCAACCCTTCAAAAGCCGAGGAGAGCCCGCTTGGATCCCCTTTGTCGCGACAGAAAGTCTGCAGGTCCTTTGTGAAGATACCTCCGGCTCTGCACCCTGCTAAAGCCTCAATGGGAAGAAATTGTGACAGTGAACTTGAGGAGAGGCAGCAGGCAGAGCCAGGCATCCTACAGCCACCAGCACAGCCTGAGACCATCCAAAAATCCCCAAATATTAGGAGATGATCCTTAGTCTCTGGAAATGTTCAAGGCCAGGCTGGGTGAGACTTTGAGCAACCTGGTCTAATAGAAGGTGTCCCTGCTCATGGCAGGGGGGTTGGAACTAGATGATCTTTACGGTTCCTTCCATCACAAACAAAATGAATTTTGACCATCCCTATCCCCAAACTCTCTACAGCTTCACTCACCATCTCCACAGGAGCAGGGCAGCAGTGGAAGTCCCAGTAAAAGGGCAGTCCCGAGAGGTTGCTCTTCACGCGCAGGCTGAGGCTGCCAGCAGTGAGGTGGCAGGAGAAGTACGTGGCAGCGTCCAGCTGCCCCGCCAGCAAGGGGCACATCAGGTTGGACAAGCGGTGCAGGAAGGAGGACACATGGACCGTCAGACGCTTGTTCAACTCCTGCAGGAAGGCAAAGTTGGGGTACAGCACCACCCCAGGGAGCTTGGCACTGGGAAAAAATCAGCAGAATCTCCTGCACAGAAGGAGCAAAATAACTTCTGCACAGAATGAGCAAACCAACTTCTGCATGTTTCAGTGCTGCAAAATGCCATCCCTGGGCCTCGGTTTCCAGTGCTGGACAGGACATTCCCCACTGGGTCTCCCCAGGCCAACCAAGACGGGAAGGTTCCCACTAGCACAGGAGAGTCTGGGTTGTGGGCAGGGTGCAATGGTCTCCTCTAGCATGTCTGCCTCACATGCCACCACTAGTACCACAGGCTGGCCGAGCTGTCACAGCTCAACTCACCTGCCAGAGCCGGGGAATGGCTGGCGGCTCATGCACCCCCCTCCTGCCACCAGCTCCCCCCCGCCCCCAGCCACTCAGCCCAGCCACTCTGTGACAGAGGGACATGGCAGATGTGGGGACCTGGGCACATAGGCTAGGACAAGGGGACAAGGCATGACTGCATGTGTTTTGGGGGCCATGATGACAGAATACCCCAGAGGAGCCTGTGCCTGGCTAGGAACGTGAACAGGAGTCTCTCCAGGGACTTCCCAGGCCATTTGCACCCGAGCCTGGTCAGATCCAACAGCCACTGGGTCACTAAGCAGTTTATGCTGGGATGTCAGCTGCTGTAAGGAAAAAAACGATGTCCCTGGACTTTCCAGATACTCACCTTAGACCTTTGTCCCACAGCCTTGGCGTCTGCGCTCTCGTACCAGACACTGCTGAGGTTGGAGATCAGCAGGATGTAGCCAGTATCCCTGAAGCACGCTTTGGCAAGAAAAGCAGACTCGCCAAAGCAGACAGAAGCCCAAGGCTGTGTCAGGAGGCTGCTCTCCAGCTCCTCGGAGCCCTCCATCTGCAAGAGAGCAATCAGGTCTCTAACTCACCCGCCTTGGCGTCTGCGCTCTCGTACCAGACACTGCTGAGGTTGGAGATCAGCAGGATGTAGCCAGTATCCCTGAAGCACGCTTTGGCAAGAAAAGCAGACTCGCCAAAGCAGACAGAAGCCCAAGGCTGTGTCAGGAGGCTGCTCTCCAGCTCCTCGGAGCCCTCCATCTGCAAGAGAGCAATCAGGTCTCTAACTCACCCTCTGGCCAGGAAGACCTCGGTCGCTGGGGTGG